AAGGAGTTTCTTAGTGGTTCCTACTGCTTCCATGGGGGGGTTGGTTGGTGGAAGCACGAATTCTACTATCGCAAATATGTTACCACGAGGATAAGGAAAGTGGACGAGGCCCCACCAATGCTGCAGCATTTTGATGGAAAAGAACCATCCCAACCTAGTAAAGCCATGGTAGAGGTGCGGGACTCAGGGACGGGCTGGTGGGGAAAAGCAGTACCACTGATAACATGGGGACGAGGGCATGCTTATGTCTCCACAGATCAAGACTCGCAGTGGATTCCTGAGCGATGGGTCTGACCGGCACTAGCGGCGACCTCCTCCTCCCTTTCTTCATTATCCTCACTGAAACCATAATGGCAGTGCCCAAAAAACAAAAAAGGGGGAGATGTTGCCGTCAGCCTGGGACTGGTGACAGGCAGTGTCTCCTCGGCAGATGAGGGGGCTGAGCAGGAGAGGCAGGAGGTGCAGCCACATGGCCAGTTCATGACCTGGAAGCTCATTGGACGGCCTTGCGAGTGGTCAGTGCGTGATCATCTGGCTGATTGGCTGGTTGGACTACTGGGCTCTGCGTGCTGCCCGGGCAGGGCAGGGCCTGCTCCAGGCTTGGAAGCTATATAAGTTGTGTTTAACCCTAAATAAAGGTCTTTGGCTCACCATCACAAAGACCCTGCTCCTCAGTATGCCCACACCCATCAGTAATCTTCATCCAATGTCATCAATTTGACTGTCTTCAGAGCAGGGTTCAACTTTCCTGCTTGTGGACATTCATTTTTCCAGTGTCCCTTTTTCTTGCAGATTGCACACTGATCCGCTGCGAGGTGGGTCCCTTTAAAAGGATGTGCTTTTCCCTGTCCTCTGCCTCTTCCCATTCCTGGATTGCTTACATTAATCACCCCCGCCTCTATTTCTGAAGTTTTTTCCTTATATCAGGGACCGATTGCCCTATAAAAATAGAAGCCAGCTGAACAGCCTCCTCTGGTTTCTCAGGATCCAAATTAGTATATTTTCGAGCATTTCATTTCAATCGTTCCATAAAGGCAGTTGAGGACTCGTTCAGCTCCTGCTTTACCTCATATAATTTTGACCAATTTATTGCTTTCAGCATAGCATGTCTAATCCCGAATAATATCCATCTCTGATACCCGGTCAGGAGCTCTCGTGGTCCTGACTGATTAGGATCCCACCCGGGATCCACAGTAGGAAAATTCTGGTCTACTGTCCCTTGCAAATCCTCATTTGCATGTGCCCCTTCTACCTGCTTTCAAGCAGTATTTAAGACCATTCTCTTTTCAGTACTGTCTAATAATGTGTCTAACATTACTTGTAGATCGTTCCAATCAGGATCTTGAGTCCTGATTATAGTTTCAAACACCTTAGCCAGCCTCTCTGGATCCTCCCTGTAAATACCCACAGTTTCCTTCCAAGACATTAAAACTGTTATTAAAAGGGCACTTTTACAGAAACTGGTCCATTACTCCCCACCGCTTGTCGGAGAGGGGCTTGAACAGCTTCTTTCAATTCCTCCTGCTGACCCCTAGTTCGTCCTGTGATTGGAGTAAAATCCTCCACCCCTTTGGAGTGGCTACCTTCCCTCTGTTTCACATCCTTTCCATGCGCTCCTTCTATGTCCCGAGCTTCAGCATCTAGACTCCTGTAATTTCCCCCTCCTTTACCTTCCCAGGGGTCTTGCTCAGAGCTCTTCCGTCCAGGGATTGGAGGTTCTCCCCGAGAATCCCTTGGTGCCGGCTGGAGGTCCAGCAATCCCGCGGATCTGTCGAGGTTCAGAAGCAGTGTCCCATCTGGGTCGTCAGAAACTGGCACTGAAAACCAGGAGAAAAAAAAAACATCTTAACACCAATGTAGTATTAAGAAGCAGGCATTCACTTTATTGCAGAGCTGGATGCACGAGAGAGAGCTCCACCTATCATGCACACCCTAAGGTGTACTTGCTAAAACATTTATTTCTAAATTATCTACATATGCATTAAACTCTAGGCCTGATCATACATATTCATTCTATTTCCCAGAACTAATTATAATATACCCCACCTTCACCCGCGTGTGCCCTCTGTCCTTTTGGTGGTCTCTGGTGGTGTTTTGAGACCCCCTGGTGGTTGTCTCGCTGTGTTCACTCGATGATGACCCGGAACTCACTTCCATATATGGCCCCATTCTGGCTCAGAGGCCCTGTTTTGGTCCCACTGCCCAGTTCCAGACAGTTCTTTGAAGATACGGTGGTCCTTATCTTCATCTTCAACCGGTCTTTGCTGTTTTTGTCCATATTTTCTCATGATGTTCCAGGAAAATCTACTGATTTGTCTGTATTTTACAGCAACAACAGCGAAAATATGTCCTTGGATGCATTCTCTTCTGGGGTTTTTCATAACAAGATCAGATCAGATTCAAATAAAAAAGTCTAACCAATCAATACTGATAATGAAACATGTTTAAATGTACATATACCCTCCCCCCAAAACAGTTTTTTAGTCAAGCCTGGCTCTCCATTTATACTTCAAGGAAAACTTGAACAGTGAACAGTCCAAGTGTTATAAGAGGCCTCAGACAAGAATACATCCAAGGATATAATTTTTGCAGCTGCTACTGGTACATCACGAAGGAGTAAAGACTGTGCAGAAAATCTCACTGTCAAGAACCAAATGTCCAAAAAGGAGACCGAGGAGTCCTAAAACTTTATTCAAATAAATGGGGAGTCCACCAGGGCATATCCCTGTGGGGGTCTCTCAAATTACAGGAGGGCGCAGCCTCCATTTATCCTGATTTCCCAACCGAGGTATGCCCTCTCCTTTTCCCTATTGGCCAAGGTACTCAGAAGTTACAGACTTCCTGGAACTCCCTGCCTCCCTCCTGTTCTCACCTGAGGTCAGCTGGCTCCTTTGTGCCCCTTGCCAAAGAATGGGGAGCAATTCCCTCATTTGTAAAGGCACCAACTTTTTGGCATATGCTCCTTTGTCCCACTCACTCTTGACTCCACTCAGTCTTACCCCCTGCATCTGCTCCTTTGTCCCGCTCTTCAGCCAAAGAATGTGGGGTAACTCCCATATTTGTAAAGACACAAACTTGTTTGTTCTGCTCAAGATAAAACAGCAAACACCAGTTGAAGACAAAGATAAGGACCACCACATCTTTAAGGGACCAGTTGAAACTGGCCAATGGGTCCGAATAGAGCTCCCTGAGCCAGAACGAGACCGTATATGGAAGTAAGCGGCAAGAGTTCATAGAAAGGACCTGGAAAGATGACCACCAGGGGTCTCGAAACACCACCAGGGACCACCGAAGGCACAGAGGGTGCACGCACGTGTGGATGGGGCATATTGTAATTAGTTCCAGGAAATAGAATGTATGACCATTTTGGGAAATTTAAGGTATATGTAACAGGGTGATATAAGCTTTGAGTAACACAACATACGGTATGCACGATTGGTGGAGCTATCCCCCATACATCTGGCACCGTAATAAAGAGAATGGCTGCTTCCTAATGCTACATTGGTGTTAAAGAGGTTTATTCCCGATTTTGGTGACAATTTCTGGCGACCCAGATGGGACTCTGCTTTTGAATCTCAACAGATCCGTGGGGTTGCAGGACCTCCAGATGGCACCAAGATATTCTTGGGAAGAACCTCCAATCCCCAGACCAAAGAGCTCTGAGCAAGATCCCTGGGAAGGTAAAGGCATTCCTTTCTAAAAAAAAAAAAAAAAAAAAAAAAAGAGAGATCCTTAAAAGGATTGTCTGCCCATCAGATGAGGCGAAAGCTTCGCAGGGTTGGGCTATAAAGTTACCTACCTAAGGGAAGGGACAGGTTTGTTTGACGGGTAGGTTAGATCCCCTCCCCAAGCAAAGCAAAAGCTCAAAAGCTCTGCAGGGTAGGGCTTAGGTTTGGCTTAAGAGTAGGTTAGAGCCCCACCCCAGGGCACTCGCCCATGAGACAAAGCGAAAACTTCGAAAACTTTGCAGGGAAGGGCTTCAGGGTAGCTACAGCAAAAGGATTAAGGTTAAGATCAGGATCCTGTGGGTTAGAGTTCCACCAAAGAGTTAAGGTTAAGGTCAGACCAATACTTTTGGATAATTGTGGTGTTGAAACTCAGAAAAATATCAGATATTTGCGTCTGGATTTTGTAATTGCATTCTGTAATTGTTCCATAATTCTGTAATTGTTATAAGATATTGTGTGTGGGGGGGGGGGGGGTAGACTCATAACGCATTAACACAATGGGTAATGCTCCTTCCTCGGTAGGAGGGATGTTGAAGAAATCTCCTCTGGGATGCATTCTAAAACATTGTGGAAAGGTACGGGGAGATCCCCTTACTCGGAAACAACTTGTGGAGTATTATAATCATTAGTGGCCACAGTACACTCTGGAAGATCACAAAAAGAGGCCAAAGAATGGAACTTTAAGATATAACACAATTTTGTTACATGTTGTTTATCAGGATAAGTGGATAAGTGAGATGAAATCCCACTTTTTTTTTTCTCTAAAAAATGATCATGAAACAAGAAAGAAATGTAAATTGTTGGTATCTGATTCGAAGATGTTAGAAGGAAATGTGATTTTTGGTTTCTGATTTGAATGTGTTAATGATGATGGAGGACAAAAAGAAGGTGTCTTGGTGTTGTTTGGCTTGCAGTACTGAGAAGAAAGTTTGAAAGGGGGTTGATGATAAAGGAAGTGAGGCATTGAGTCCAATTGCAGGCAGGACTTGAGTGCAGCAGAACGCTGTGATTCGGTTCCCCTACTTCCGGCAGTGGGAGTAGAGGGAATACCTGTATATGTAAAGGTTCCTTTTTCAACTGCAGATTTAATGAACTGGAAGGAGTCAGATATTTATAAGTGCTTCTGAATACTTTACTTGCTGTCCTGTTAGCTCATTAAAGGAGACAGTTAAATAAACCAGAGCAGCAACACTGTGTTTTAGTTAGTTGCTTTTATTCACCAGTGCAAGATCTTTGTCATAACAACATCCACCATTAACTGGTGTGATTGTTATAGGGATGGGCTTACCAATTAGCAATTAGTAACTGTCAATTAGTGCAACTAAATGGAATACACTGCTTGTCCAGGGGAAAAAAATAAATGAATAAAATAAAATAAAATAAAATAAAATAAAATAAAAAGCTATAGCGTTGCTTCACCCTGTGTGTACAGGGACCTCTCAACCTTGCAAGGAGGTGAAAATGCTAGCATTTTCACACCCTGAATGTACAGGGGACTCAACCTTATAAGGAGGTGCCTTAGCCCAGTGTCCCAGGTTAAGGGGAGGTGATGTGATGCAATGCTCATGGCACTGTCTAGCCGCAGGAGGTAGTCAGTTGTCATTCTCAATCCCTGCTCAACTCATCAGTGCTAGACTCTGTCCTTTATACCCTTAGGAAAGGAGTACATGACTGTGCTATGGTCATTCTCATAAGGTGATCCTTCCAGCATCTTCAGGCGAGTTTTCATTTCAGCCCATTATCAAATGTTTAAATGCAAGTTTATCAGTTCTTTAGTGAGTTGGGTCTTTGAAAATTTTAGCAAAATCCTTCACAGGACTTCCCACTTTCCTTCGTTGTTGGGGAGAGCACCCAAAGTCTCACCATGGCTTTTCTGCCATCTGTCATGTTGGCAGAGCTCTGGTAGAGCTCCTGCACTTCACCAGTTTTGTTTGTTAACACTTTACTCACCCATCACTTGCGCCCAAGGAAAACCGAATGGTATTGGATAAAACTCGAGAGGAAAATGAGAGATAAAATACTAGGGATGGACCGGATCATTTTATGCTGGCCCAAGAACTAGATTGAGATTAAAATACGGGGGTGTGTAGGTTAATGATTAAGCAGTATCAGCAGTTAATATTATGCCTAGACATGGAGTGCCTAGACCTAAAAACATTGAAAAACTATATCAAGTTGTACAGGGTAAGGCTGAGGATCCCTCAGAGAATTAGGAACCTCCATCTGCATCTGTACTGGAGGCAGATTTGCTTATGATTGGTGCAGAGGATTCAGATGGATGGGGACTGGGGGCTGAGAAATTGGATACCCCAAATGATCTCCTGCTTTCAGTCAAGCTGGGTAATGAAGTAATTAAATTTTTAGTAGATACTGGAGCAACATATTTGGTATTAAATAGTTGTAAAGGACCAGTGAGTAAATTCTCTATGTCAGTAATTGGTGCCACGGAAAGGCGAGAGGTCAAGTCCTTTTTTTTTTTTTTTTTTTTCTTTTTTTTTTTCCATTCAGAAAGTTACATTTTCAAAATATTTACATGTGAATATATGCCAGAGTGCCCCCTACTGCTGATGGGACTTGATGGATAAATTTGGAGCACAAAAAACTTTTGATCAAAACAAGGTTCAAGTACATATACTGCTAAATAATGCTTGGGAAGGAGAGATATATACGTTGCAGGAATTATCAGAGACAGAAGACACTGAGGATAAGGAAAAGCAAGTTGAAGTCTCCTCCTTGGACATCATGAGTGCAGTGAATCCTTTAGTCTGGACAACTGAAAAATGTGGAAAAGCAAAATCAGCAGAATCAGCAGAACCAGTAAGAGTGGAATTAAAGCCAGGGGCAAAGTCGATAAGACAAAGACAATATTCTATAGTCAGAAGCAAAGTTGGGAGCCTGCATCAGACCAGAACCTGTAATTAATGAATTTTAGAGCATGGACTATTGCGAGAATGTCAGTCACAGGAATATCACTTAGTATGAATCTAAGGGCTATCACTGAAATAGTGGTTGATGTATATCCAGTGGTATCTAACTCTTACACTCTGTTAACAACAATAATTGAGCAAAACATCTCTTTTACAGTACTGGATTTAAAAGACGCTTTCTTTTCTATCCTGTGGGAAGAACAAAGTCAGATGCTGTTTGCTTTTGAATGGGAAAGCCTCACAACAGGACACAAAACACAGCTGTGCTGGACTGTGCTCCCTCAAGGGTTTAAGAATAGCCCTACTCTTGGGTAATGTATTGGTAAAGGAACTGGAGCAGTGGCAAGGTAAGAAGCCTAATACTATCTTGTTACAGTGTACATGAAAAACTACTGAACAGGTGTACTCCAGTCGTTCAGACCTGAGAGATACTCCCTTACAAAATCCAGACTGAGAGTTATTTACTGATGGCAGCAGTTTTGTGGACAAAGGAGAACAGAAGGCTGGTTACATGGTTGTCACCCTAGAAGAAGAAATAGAGGCAAAACCATTTCTAGTAAAGACATCAGTTCACAAAGCTGAATTGATTGCTTTAACACGGACTCTGGAGTTATCAGAAGTGGACCAGTACCTATACTGACTTGAAATATGCCTTTGGGGTAATACATGCATATGGGGGAATTTGGAAGGAAAGGGAATTGTTATATTCACAAGGGAACCCCATAAAATACTGTAGAAAGATTATGCTGCTGCTTGAGGCCATCAACAAACCCAAAGAGATAGCAGTGATGCACTGCAAGGCACACCAATCTGGACAAACCGATGCAATCGGAGGAAAGAGGAGAGCGGATGAAGCTGCAAAAAGAGTCGCATTGTCAACAACCATAGCCACCCTGGTTCCGGAATGAACCTTAAAAATGGAAGCCCCAAGTATACAGAAAAAGAGAAGAGGTTGGCTGAAATATTGAAATGCAAATAGACTGCTGATGGATGGTGGGGAACCCCAGTCAGGCAGAGTGTCATGACTCCACTGATAATGAGGGAGTTGATGGAACGTACCCATAAAAGCACACATGTGGGAATTGAGGCTCTAACTGAAACAGTGGAGAGTTACACAATGTTGTGAGATCTGCACCAAGAATAATCCTAAAATTCAAAGGAAATCTCCTCCTGGGGAGGTGAAGAGAGGTTCTACACCTGAGGATTATCGGCAGGTTGATTTTTCTGAATTACCTAATTGTTGTGGATATAAGCATTTATGGGTAATGGTTGACACATTTTCAGGGTGACCTGAGACCTTCCCATGTCATACCAACAAGGCAAGGGAGGTGGTAAAAGTGTTGTTAAAAGGAATTATAAGAAGGACCTCATTTTATTACACGAATCTTACAAATTAAATGGAAGATTAGTCCCTATGAATTACTGTACGGGAAACCCTACCACGTACTCCCAGGAAAAATGCATGTAAAAGGTATTGCAGACTTGCAGTTGTACTTCATTTCTTTAGGAAAGACTTTGGCAAATCTTTGTCGGCACACTGTCTTGACAGGACCCCTCACTCTCAATACTCCGGTACATGTTTATCAACTAGGAGATCTTGCCTATGT